GAAAACAAATCAGAACAAACACCTTTAACCTATGGCACCCATAGTGTGCAGGAAATGAAGCTATTTGCATGTAATGCTACTCTGTAAACGTTCAATTTACTCGGCATGCCGGCTTGTTTTGTGTCGGCCAAGTTGGAGCGCAACTTAGGTTATTGTCTGCGGAGGAATCTTCCCTCCAAACGCAGTCAGTAGTGCATTTGCTCCCCCGTGACATCAGACATCAAGTACCTCTCTCCCGACTCACCCTCCTGCACCTCCTCCTTTGAAATTAGTTACAAACGATTTAAAAATAGCAGCCCGGTCATTTCCTCACCTCACACTATCCCCCTCTTCCACTGCCCCGGTCCAAACACTTTACGCACTTACCGGAAACCATCCCGAGCTGGGCATCTCGGTAACGGTAGTTCTCGGTGGAAGCTGTAGCTCCTCTGTGGGCATTGGGAACACGGCTCTTCTTTGTGCCGGGAAGACTTCAGTACCCACCACGCATTGCATTGCATTGATCTGGGGTGGGAAGGGGGGGTGGAGGCGCATTCCGTTATATTTTCCCACCGTGATAATCACTTTCCCCCTCCTATAGCTTACCCATCATTTTATTATGTATATAAAAAATAGCTCCCAAATGTAATCCTGAAATAGCGCCTGCTGTCGTTACTTGAATCATAATCAACTTCAAATCATAAGCTTTATTGGGATCAAATTAGAAAAAAACAGCACAACTACAGTTTGCTTTTGATAAACTCACAGTGACTGACAGCTTCATTTAATTTAGATGTGTATAAACATAGCAGACCACAACCAATCTACATGACGTTCAATGCACAATATGAAAAAAAACTGAATTATGTTGTGTTACATTTTTTATCTATTTTTAATTCATAATCAAAATATCCTGAAATAACTCTTATTATACTGACATGAAGAATACATATGAACTCTTCTTCAGCTTCCTAAACAGGCTTTCAAAGGTTTCTGGGAGGTTTTCCCATGTAGGAAGCCACTGACTTACTGCGCTACTTTGGTGGATAAAGTATAATTTCTTTCTGTGAAAATAGCAATACCTTAATGTCAAACTAGTCCATTAAAAGTATTGCATTCAGATAAAGTATTGAGCGTTATTGGTAAATAACATATACAAGTATTGATTCTGTTGTTAACGCACATGCAGTATTTTAAGGGGAAAAAATAAAACAGACATTCTGCTCTTCCATTGTTTTTTTGGATATATTTAGTACATCTACAAACATAAATGACAGTTTCCTAAAGCCGTAAAACAGAGCAGCAAGTATTCAATAAGGTGATGTCATCAGGTGACAAATGAAAAATGTAGTCATATGTTGATGTTGTAGGAGCAACATCAACATATGACTACATTTTTTATAAATGTTTTATATGAGAGTGAGAGATCTGTTCTAGTCTGAGTTTCTAGCAGCCAGATGCCATCTACTGGCCAACTACAGTGATAGCATGCTTCTCCAATGATTTAGCTCCAAAACAACAGTACGGTGTCTTTTACTTCATCATAAATACCAGCGTGTATCGGTGCAATTGAAAGATCTAGAGGTTATTTTTAGGACTAGCTCATCCACGGATGATTTATTAGACCAAAATCTGGATAATTTAAGTTCTTTAGATATCACAAAGAGTAACACAAGGAAGCATTTTGATCCAACAGGGAAAACCAATACCAATTAAATCTTTTTTGTGAGCGTCTGCTGAACAAATTTCAACTGAGGAAGCCGATGGTACACTTAAATACACAGCAGCAGCAGCAGCAGCACTATATCTGGAGTCTTCCTGGTTCCATAGTTTAGCTGATACATATTTCATAATGTTTGAGATAAATGCAGGATAACCACCTCAAAGTATCAAAAAAGCTCAAACTGGTAGAATAGATATCTGCACACTATGTTTGAGATAAGAAATGATCTCAGATAAAGTGTCCGCACTGGAATTTTCAAAGCTTGTTTTAATGTGAATACAATATTAAAACAATTATGATTTGACAATTTATCATATTCTTTGGTAAATGGAGGAAATAGACCACAATGGAAAACCAAGTATCTGAAGAAAATGTGATGAAATAACTATGATGATCAGATGTTGAGTTAGAAATGTTTAGACTGAGGAATCCACAGCATGACACTGCATATACAGTGTATATATGTGCAAGTCAACATTTATATTTTAGATATACATTATTTATCTGTAGTTCATTCTTTAAATCATTGTGACCAATGACTCTGTCTTTGTGTTCCTGTAAGATGGACTGAACATTTTTAATTCGATTCAACTCAGATTACTTGGAATAGTAGCAAGAAATACACAATTCAAATCAAATACAATACAGTACAAGCCAGATAAATACATTCTGACATTTTGTAATATAGATATATACACTGTGTGTGTGTGTGTGTGTGTGTGTGTGTGTGTGTGGGTGTGTTTATCAAGAGGCCTTAATCAACTGATATTGCTTAAGTATGGCTGGTATCTCTGAGTGAACTTGATATCACTGATAAACTACCCATAACTAAATAAATCAAGCACTTTCCCTAGAAGTGCCCCACAGCAATGACGAGGGCAAAGTGAGCCTTTGCACTTTGCCCTATACTATGTTACACACAGTGTTGCACAGTAGGGATTGTTCCTGCATAGGATTTGGATGCTGACATGAACAAGACAGACAGCTGTCTGAGCTCACATAATGAAATATGATCTTGTGCCCTGGTGGTAAAGAATCATTGCAATGCACAGTAGAGGGTAAAACACACACTTGTTCTGCTGTAAGGGTTGGTTTATGTTTTTGACCATAGGGTCCCCTTGTCTTTGCATGATTCAGTACAGCCTTGTTGAAAAACACCCCCATGGTAAATCCCCAGTAACAGCTGTGTGCATGTGTGCGTGTGTGCGTGTGTGCGTGTGTGCGCGTGTGTGTGTGCGTGTGTGTGTGTGTGTGCGTGTGTGTGTGTGTGTGTGTTTGGGTGGCTGAGACGCTGCATGGGCTATTGCTGCACTGCACATTCTTGGGGAACAGCTGTGGAATATTTGACCACTGGCTGCATCAGGATTGTTTAACTCTTTTGCTGACTTGTGGATAAATGGGCGCCTATGAAGCTTTATGGATGCCTAACAGGTCCCACTCCTTTATTATAACAAACACTCATAAAGGCCCGAGGCAGGCGACCTATGACTCATGATGAGCAAGAGAAGGACAACGTGCCTCTAACTGCGTTATCATTTATGAATTTAAAGCAATCATTTCACCTCATGAGCATCATTTTCTTGATTTATTGCTGAAGTCTTTTCCTCGTGCACTCAGCTGGAAAGATTTACGATACAGAGGGCTATTCTGAGAGCGGGAACATATAGTGTCACCAATCACAGTCAATGCCATTTGGCTGTGACCCAACAAGAATGCCTTTTGAGTAAATAAGTATACATAGCACTAAAGCATTTAAGGAATGTTTACGGAGTGTGTTTAATCAGTATGGTTTGTATCTAATGTGCGTGACCATTTTAAGCTAAATATATACCACAGGGGTCAGTACTGGTACAACATATGAGTCGTTTTCAGGATTCAGTGCTATTCAACTAAATCACGCTCACAATGTGAATATAGAGTCTCTCCTATTCCAGCACCATGGACAGGGTTCTGCCACTGAGGCAGCCTGTGGTTTCTCTGCCGAGATCATCAGTCAATCATTCATAAGTGTGTTTGTCATATAATCTTAATTTCTTTATTTTGTTTTACAACAGAGTGGGTACTATTGTTCATTGCTGCTGGTGGTGCCACTCGATGACTAGAACATACATAGAAATGCCTCAATTTAAAATGAATCACAATATCATTAACCCCCTCAGTGGGCCCATGTGATTTCCGGTGATTGACCTGAGAATGGCCTCAGACTGCTACTTCCTGCCATTTCTCCTCTCTGTTTTTTGCACCGACATGAATGTTGAACATGTTTCCTGTTTTGCTGTGTAGGACACGACTATTTAAAACAAGAGAGTTGAGAGGAGTAAATGATAAAGAATAGTGTGGGGACAAGAATGAGCAAGAAAATGTACAAGTCAGGTTGAGCATGCTTTGAAATATGTTAACATTATGACGACAATGCCAAAATGGGATGTTACAGAACTTTATAATAGCATTATTAAAAAAGATAATACAAGTTAATAATAGTAAGGGACAGGCAACAACAAAAATGTCAAACACCCTTTCTTTAATGGAATAGTTCAAGAGAGGGTAGATGAAAGATTGATCCCACTCTTGTGTCTGTGCGGTAAATGTTAAGCTACAGCCAGCAGCTTCTAGCTTAGCCAGACAAAGTGGGAAACAGCTAGCCTGACTCTGTGCAAATCCGTTTAAACAAATGTGTAAAGGTGAGATGTCACAGCTGACTGCAGTATGAATATTGCGTAACTGTCTCGGACATTGTTCACTATTCTACTGTGGATGCAGGCAGCCTATATGTGATATTGTCTGAGGCGGTGGTTATTTCACTACAGCTTTATTCATTAGATTAAAGATGAATCCTCTCTCATTGTTTTTCTAGGCTCCAACGCCGGTCCTGCTCTTCTTGCATATTCAGGTATGCATGGACGTGATGTTCAGCGCAGGCAGTCAGAAAGGAACACGGGGTGACAGGGCATTTTGTTCCTCCTGCTCACCCCCTGAGCAAAGTAACAAAACGCTGCATTCTTTCCACAGATCCTTATGACAACACAGGCTGCGCACCCTTTGAATAGCAGGTAAACATATTATTAATGTGGGCCTTGAATTCCGGGACCATTCATCCGTCTCAGGCTCCTTTTGAACTCAGAAATGTGTTTGCTTGTCACACAACCGAATCACACAAGCCATCTAAAAGGATTTATTTGACCTCAAATTATCCCTCACGTATACTTTCTTTGCGGTAAGGACTTTATTTACGCAGTGTGCATTTCCAAAGCAAACAGAAGGCCATAAATTAGAAAAAAGGACAAAAACAAGATGGATGTCAATTTTTTACTTTTTAGTCTCAATTTATCTTTACATTAAAACACTCCTACAGACAGATACGAAGATACAGACTTGATTTTAATATATTTAATATACACTTGCACACAATAATCTATTATAAAGAAATACAACTTTCAGTAGACTACATAACTTTTTTCAACATGTATCCGCAAAGTCAATCATAACAAAAGTAATTATATAGATTGTAAAATAATAAATGTATTGATTGATAAAAGAAAATAAATACGTTTTACAAAAGTAAATACAGTATATGAGAAATTCCTGAACATGTATGTACAGTATGCATGTCCCTTTTTTCCTGTCACAGCCTTCTGTGTCAGTGCCTGGCCTGCCTGTCTGTCTGTGCAGTGACACACAGACAACCACCCTGAGTCTCACAGACCAATCGGCCATAATGTCCAAAATGACCACAGGTGCAGCGCTCTCTTATCGTGGTAGTAGCTCCTCTCAGTGATGATCCTCCACATCTGTTTACATGATATGTTTGCAGAACTCTGTCACATGTTCCACCCTTGACCCCCGGGTACAAACAGACATTTTTGTGGCGCTTTGGGCTTTCCCGCGTCGGACACCATCCTTCAGCAACCTTTTGTTTCCCACCCTTTCTGTCAAAGGAGTGTCATTTTTTCAGGTGCTCGCTGCTCTCATTCTCTCACTGCCTCAGCTGGCACATTGTTTAGCGAGTGCCCTTCCTCTGAAAGGACTCATCTCTGTCTGAATCAGGTGAAGCGTTGCCGCAGCTCTGAGCGACAATTTCAGCCACACAATCAAAAATATGATCAAAATGTAAGTGAAATTGTGTATGTTTCTCTAGGCAATCTTATCATTCAAAGCTCACCTTAGGCTGCTCAGTATGTTGAGTTGACTTCTCTTCACAGTTCTCTTTTGGGATGTGACTTCAGGACTGCACGCAAGGAAACAAAAATGACCAGTTCTTTTGAAATCGAAACTCACCCTGACATTGCAGTTTGTCCCTTTAAATGTTTTATTGATGTTACTGTGGTTAAAGAACACCTCTCCTAAATAGAAGCATCCAACACTATTTCCTTATTGTGTTGGATGTGTTTGATAGTCTTATCTTTACGGGCTCACTAAATGTTTTATGTTACAAGAAAACAGTAAACCACATCTGCAATGTCACAGTTTAAACAAGAGACCTCGCTGGCCTCCCGCTCTGCCTCCTGTCTCGGCCTGTCACTCAGTCTCTCTACAGTCTCTAGGTGGTGACATTATGTTTGTTGACATTTCTAGGAAAAATTCTCTACATAGTTTTTCATTGCTTCCAATGAGCTTATTCTACTCCCTCAGGCCTCAGCTGTGCTGTTTTGTTGATCAGACCCTCCAACAAGCAGAACTTACAGAACACATAACAGTACATTTAATTCCATGTTAGCATTGCAGTGAAATGAGGTGTTCCCTTACGCTGCACCACTCCTTGTCCTCCACAAAGGGCCACAATACAGGCCTTTACTAACCACACATGGAGGCCATACAGATCGGGGATACAACACTAACAAGGGCCTGCAACTGATGCTTGATAGCTGCGTGGGATGCTTGGGCATCGACTCACCTGTGATGGCAGAAGTTGGTACAGTTATGATCATCAAGGTCGGCACAGGTGCAGCGGCGAATGGACCTTCTGCGTCGGGACAGAGCGCTGCCTAGACCATAAACTGTCGTCTTACTGCAGAGAAAAAGAGATACTTAGCGTCAGGCACATGATATAAACATTCTGCAGACTTTGCTCTTTGATACTTCATGCAGCCCTGCCCAGTTGATTGTACACTGGCTCAAAGTGAGTATGCTGCATGTGTGTGTGTGTGTATACATCGCGTCCTCTCATGCTCACCTGGGCGTGTTGATCCAGATGATATCCAGGTGGCAGAAGTAGTGGCACTCAGAGTCTAGCAGGCTGCTGCAGGCGCAGCGCTTGATCCTCACTCTCTGTGTTGGGACACCGTCACCGACCTCCACTTCTAGCCGTTTTATCACCGGAAGACTCAGACCTAATGCGAGACAAAGAGCCGTTCAGTAACAGTGATCCAAATGCAGCATCAACTCCAGCTCAGCCAAACCAAGTAACTCTGCTCTTTTCCACTTCTACGGTTTCTCAAAACACAACACTGATAGATGTGTTATATCACCAGTCTGTTATGTATAGAATTTACAAGTTTGAACATTAAAAAGCTCATCAACTATTCTTTACAGATGTATTACTCTTGATCTTTAACAGTCAGCAAACAGACTTATTTACAGGATGGGAATGCACAAATTACTTTGCTTTTTCTTTCTTGCAAATATTATAGACAGTCAAAAAAGGCAAAGTATAAAGACTACAACTATTTTTTGAGATAAAAAACCTGCATTAACTGAGGACAACTACCACACTCCTAACACTTGTACTCTTGTACTTGTATTACAGGAATCTATTACAATTTGTATGTCACAATTTAGCAACAGTAAATAAAATCTCATTGAGATCAAATTTGCATCTTTTGTGTAATACATGTTTCCTGTGCTTCTGTGCTTGCTAAAACATGCATGTGCACCAACATAGGGATGCTCGTTGCTGCTTAGAGCACAGTGTGGCTGAGACAAAAGCCGGAGTACATATGAATATGTGAGTCCCAGTTTACACAGCTGACTAACAACACAAAAGGTATAGCAAAAGTTTTTGGCACTGTTTCTTCTAGCATAACTGGGAAAGGTCCACTAAAACAATAATATGAAATTGTAAAGTTTAAATAAACTCACCATCCTCCATGGATGCCCAAAGAGTGATGAGAAGAAGAACTGAACTGGTGCGAGAAGACATAGTTGATAGCAGATGGATGAAGCTCTCCAGTGAGACTATTGTCCACATAGATACAGCTGTGTGTCTGATGTGCTGCTGCCATGTGTCTGCAGGTGTCTGAGCTCGGTCACTCTCTTATGCCTCTACCCTCCCTCGCGTGATGTCATGACCTAAAGCTCCACCCGTGGCCGCTTGCCATGCTTGCCACAGTGTACGACCCCAGGGCGTTTGAACCTGTGACACATTCCACGAATATGCGATTCTTTGTTGCCCCTCTGTATGTCACCTGCTGAGTGACATGCATGTCTTGCAGTTTGCCTTTGAATGAGGAATCATCTCTTTGCTCTTGCTATACATGAGGTTTGAGGGGGAGGAAGAGAGAGACGGAGGAAGACATCGGGACTGCTGAAGAGTTAGTTACCTAATATGCTAGAGTAGAGAGAGGGATCCTGGTATGAATATGCTCTAAAAAGTGACTGAGGACCGAGGCATTGAATCCCAAAAGAGATCACTGGAACACATGTGGGAAGAGATAAGAGGGGAGATGCAGTGATATGCTCGTATATGTTGACGTTTTAAGTTGGGTTTTCCCTAAGCTAGTTTTTTTCAATTATATAAATCAAAAGGAACATTTTCCTTTTCAATATTTATTTTGTGAGGCTCCTGATATAAAGACAGACACAGTGTCAAAGATGATTTAATGTATTCTAAAACAGTAACATTTTTCAAGGTCTGAAAGAGACCCTTTTTTGTGCACTGATGGATTGATAAACCTTTTAACGATAAACTGTTGGACTTTCCAGACTGAAATTTGAAAAATATTCATTCTTTTTCACATAGTTTGTTTAAAAGTTACATGCAGTAACTCATACATCCATTACATAATTTGGATTCAATATTTTCTCGAATAAGAATGATTTACTGTACCCCACTGTACCAGCCTAGCACTTAATGACTAGCTGGGGAACATAGTGGAGTTTCTATGAGCTAAACAGATGGATATTTTTCCTCAGGATTTGACACCTGAACATATAGACCACAGAAGAGAGCAGACTGTACTCTTCCTCTCTGCAGTGGGCATGTCCAGTGCACAAAAACATGTGAAAACATGCTGCAAAGCAGAGGAGAGGACAAATCAAAGGAGATCAAATTAAAAAGAAATGTAAAAGAGGACGATTGGAAGGACAATCATTATAATGATTTTGCTGTACAATACTGCTGCGCGTAATCCTTTCAAAACACTTGCACACACTGTTGTGCTTACACTTTGATTTTGAGATCTTAATTTCACACATCTCAGTCTGTTCCTGCATCCTTCCCTCCCAGAAGAAGAGTTGGTTATTATTGAGTCAATCAGGATATTCTGGCATCCAACACAGACTTTCGGTGTACAGGGGGACAATATTTTCCTAGCTCGTAAATATTTGGTGAATGTTCGACATGGTGATGAGATTGCCACAGTGCATCACGATAGCAACACATTCTTGCACCAGAGGTTATAAGTTCAGTTCCCTCAGGAGCACAGATGTGCCCCTCTCCACAGGCATTGCAGCTCATCAGGCTATTCAGTCTCTTAAAATGGATAGCAAGTAAAAGTAACAGTCAGAGGCTCTTTTTATTCAGCCACACCACCGATGTGTTTGTCAACTTCTGTCCTACTTGACAGCTGCTGTTTCGTTTTAACTAATGCCTCCTCAGTTCACTCCATACAATCTCCCTCTAGCTCTGTGCTGTCGGCATTTACAGTGCTTTGAAGAGGAAGAATGATCCTCCACTACTTGATAAAGGTGTCTATAAATACAAGCTCCTCCTTTCCTTGTAACATTTGTTTTTATGGAATGTCGAGTCATAGCAGCAATCATCTTTTGGCTCCTCGTCAACACACTCGCTTGGCTGTGCCTGAGTCAGCTTTACGCAATCCACGTCTTGCTGTGCTGCTAAACATTTTTGTGCAAAGCATCAGTGAGGGTGAATGGAAAACACTGCAGGGATGGGAGTGACACATTTATATGAATATTGTTTTGTATTCTTAGAGCTGCATGTGACGGATTGGAGTGCTTTATCTATATATATATATATATATATATATATATATAT